TGCTGAATGTTACTGATGTTGATAGAAATCAGTGGGACATCATCACCTGAACTCTGATCCTGTCATGTCTGCAGAGTCTAGAACCAGGGGTGTACCCGGGCTTTACCCCTCTCTGTCCGCCTGAACAAACCACTCCTGTTCAGCCACGCAACCCTGAACAGGAGCAGAGAGCAAAAGCTATGAGAGGACGGATGTAAGTACTGCGACTCGTTCTTCTACTTTGAACTGCTTCGAATTTAGAAAATGGAGCGTAGCCTTAGTTCAACAAAAGCACAGCCACAGATCAGCTGATCTGGATTCTGTTCAGTGTAACTTACTACAGACAGAGTCCAGGTATTGAAGGTGGATGAGTTTAGCTGGGGGTCAACCAAGTAACAGACAGTGCACAGGAGATGAAGAGGCTGGAGGCGGGTGGAGGTGAGTGTCAGGGGTGATTTGTGACAGGATAGCAGCAAGAATGAAAGTGAAACTTTGCAACGTGGTAGTGACAAAAAACATGAGGTGGAAGCTGTAGGGGGCGGAGCTGAAGATGCTTAGAGTGGGAGTGACCGGGAGGGACAGCAAGGCAGGGGTGTCCAACTCCTGGGGCCGGTGTCCTGCAGGTTATAGATCTCACCCTGGACACCCTGCACGCCTGAATAACATGATTAGTTAATTCCCAGGCCTCTGGAGAACTTCAAGACACCTACAACCTGTAGGACACCGGCTCTGGAGGCCTGGAGTCGGACACCTCTCCCTAAGGAGAGAGTGAAATGGAGGCAGATGTTGGATCTTGTTGCAGCAGGAACAGGAGCTCTGTGCTAACTTAGCTGTTTTTTAACACAGGTTTGTTCTGAACGAGCTGATTCAGACAGAGAAGGACTATGTCAAAGACCTGGGCATCGTGGTGGAGGTGAGTGCTTCTGCAGAATCGTTCTGTGCAGCGGTCTCCCGGACGTTTAAACAAAGAACATCGGGAAATGTACATTTGGGTTCAAAAGTTATCGACACTTTGACCGCAGGGGTTCATGAAGAGGATCGAGGAGAAGGGCGTCCCAGACGACATGAAAGGAAAAGACAAAATCGTGTTTGGGAACATCCACCAGATTTATGACTGGCACAGAGAGTAAGTCGAGCGTCGGCTGGGAATGATGGCGTGAAGGACGAGGCGAGGGGATAGTAACAATCTTTATCTGTCAGTTTCTTTGTAGGAGAACTGGAGAAATGCCTGGATGACCACGAACACCTCCCTGAGCTCTTCATTAAACACGTTAGATAAACTGTCGTGATTGTGTCACCGCACTAGAGTACATTTGTAATCTCTGCTCTCCCAGTGGTTTGCTCTCTAATCAAAGCTCCTTTGTCTTTACAGGAGAGAAGGCTCCACATGTATGTTGTTTATTGTCAGAATAAGCCCAAGTCAGAGTTCATCGTGGCAGAATACGACACGTATTTCGATGTAGGTGAAGCTTTGATTCTCTTCATCATTAGCAGAAAGTGTGCAGTAGGGCTGCTCGATTATGGCAACAATGATAATCACGATTATTTGACGATATTTATTTAACAATAACAATGTGTTGAATAATGACTTTAAAGATTGTCAAAAATAATATAAAATAATGTGCAAATACTGATAACAGTGCAAATGTTTGCAATATAAGAAATAAATGAAAAATGTAAACATCTATGTTTAGTGAACTTTGCAGTGTTGCTCAGTCATTTTTAATGATCGTTGAAAGCCCAGATCGTAATCGAGATTAAAATTCAATTAATTGAGCAGCTCTAGTGTGCAGTGTGATCTAAACAGCAATATTCTTTTACATTCATCCTCGATATGAAATGCAGGGACGATCCTTAATTATCTGGACTGATACTGTCTTTGTGTGATGTTATTGGGAGTATTTATGTGAAGTGGATAAAAGGACACAGTTCGGTTATTTCTCTTCCAGGGAATCCAACAAGATATCCAGTCCAGGTTGTCCATCAGTGACTTCCTCATCAAACCAATCCAGAGAATCACCAAATACCAGCTTTTACTGAAGGTGACACACAGTCTCTCCTTATCACGAAAGAAAATGCCAAAGAGCATATCTGTGCTCCACATGTTATAAACAGGCCTGTAGTGTCACTGTAACTGTAACCTGACTTACTGTCCTTTACATTATCGTTTACATTTCTGCATATT